CAGCACGGGGGCAGCGGCAGGGCAGCAGCGGAGGGGAGGGGAGGGGCAGCGGCAGCAGCAGGGGGAGCAGAGTAGCAGACCGGGAGTGGCAGTGGCGGCTGACATGGAGTGCACAGGCAGCAGCTGCTCTCCACCCAACTCACCCACAGCTAAGTACCCCGCCCTTCCTCTCTTTTCCTAACCCTCGCACTGTGTTGCTTTTCTTGTCATGCTTGCACCATGCATGGCGCCCCCATTTTCACTGCTCTTTGTCACACCCATTAGACCTCCCTCCCCCAAGGTAGTAGGTATTATTTTCTTGGTACAGCCTCAGGTATTTGTTTTAGTTTGGCTGAGCTGGTACGAGGTCTCTTGGGTGTGCCACTGCAGCAGTCCATTCATGCACGCATCATGCTTGCGCTTGCTGCACTCTTCACTTTCACTTGTCTTGGCTTCTTTCCTCACTGTTCTCCCCACTCCTCTGCGCCCCCTTCACTTCCCCGTTTTCGCCATCCCCTCCTCCCTTCCTCTCCCTGTCCTAACCCGCCCCCTCCCGTCCCAGCAGGTCGCTCACACGGGAGTGGCAGTGGTGGGAGGGGAGGGGGGCAGAACTCCACTCCGCGGATATGGGATGGGAGAGTATCGGGATTGGGTCGTCTGAGACAATGTGAGCCTTTTTTCCCTCGTGCACTCATGCTGCTGCTTGTTCTTCTCCCCATGCTGACTTCCCGTTTCTGCTCCCTTGCTTCCTTGTAGCTTGTGCCTACTCTTCTCCCCATTCTCACTGCTTTCCCTTGATCCCCTGCCTACCCCTGCCTTGCTCCCTCCCTCCCAGTACATTGAAGTCTGTAGCAGGGCAGCAGGGGGCAGCATTAGGGCAGCAGCGGAGGGGAGGGGAGGGGCAGCGGCAGCAGCAGGGGAAGCAGAGTAGCAGACTGGGAGCAGCAGTTTCAGCAGCAGAAGCGAAAACAGCAGTAGCAGCAGTGGGAGAAGGGGGGCTAGGCTAGGCTAGATGTAGCTGCGGGTTAGGTATGGTACGAGGTGAGATATGGTACCAGTTATGGTATGGTAACAGGTGAGGTATGGTAAGCTGATCCCCTCCTCTCTCTCTCTTCCCCCTCTTCTCTCCTGCAGGCTGAAGGTGGGAGCACTGGAGCTAGGGCGGGAGAGTGGAGTTCACCTTCTCACTCGCCTCCTCCTCTCTCCCTTCTCCCTTCCCTCCCAGCAGCACCCTGCCTGGACCACAGAGAAGTCTCTCCCTCCCCTAATTCCCTCTTTTCTCTCCACTTCCCAGCAGCCTCAGCATCATGGCGCTCTGCACGGCTGCGGTAGGTACAGGTGAGGGCATGGGGGTGAAGTGTGGGGTGGGTGGGGTGGGGAGCATGGGAGCAAGCGGGGAGTTCACTGCCTTAGCGGCAGCATCTCCTGAGGTTTTGTCTTGTTGGTGGGGTGTGGTGGTGGAATCTGTGCGGCACGGCACTCGGTGCTCAAGTAACCGAACTGGCGTTCTAGGCCTAATGGACACCGTCAGAGCCGACCGGCCGGCGGCTCTGGTTCGCGTCAGCTCTGGCCACGTCAGGGGTGGGATTTGAGTCTTGGGCTGGAAGCAATTTCTCGCTACCATACCTCGCCTTACAAGGCAAAGCCTCTGGGGGCGCTGTTTCCTTTAGGAAGTGGGCTGCCTGCGGCTCCTACTGCTGGCAAGTGAAGGTGAGGAGGGGCTGAAACCCCTTGGGAGGGCGAGTGAGTGGTAGAGAAAAGGGGCTGAAACCCCCTGGGTGGGTGAGTGGAAGAGAGAAGGGGCTGAAACTCCTCGGGTGGGTAAGTGGAAGAGAGAAGGGGCTGAAATCCCCTGGGTGGGAAAGTGGAAGAGAGAAGGGGCTGAAACTACTTGGGTGGGTAAGTGGAAGAGAGAAGGGGCTGAAACCCCTTGGGTGGGTAAGTGGAAGAGAGAAGGGGCTGAAACCCCTTGGGTGGGTAAGTGGAAGAGAGAAGGGGCTGAAACCCCTTGGGTAAGTGGAAGAGAGAAGGGGTGAAACCCCTTGGGTGGGTAAGTGGAAGAGAGAAGGGGCTGAAACCCCTCAGGTGCAATGAGTTGCATGCGACAGTGGGATCACACAGTGTGGTATTTCATTTAGTGTGTGATATTGTGGTGTGGGATACTGTGGCATATCATAGTGTGGTATGTGAAGGGGCTGAAACCCCTTGGGTGGGTAAGTGGAAGAGAGAAGGGGCTGAAACCCCTTGGGTAAGTGGAAGAGAGAAGGGGTGAAACCCCTTGGGTGGGTAAGTGGAAGAGAGAAGGGGCTGAAACCCCTCAGGTGCAATGAGTTGCATGCGACAGTGGTATCACACAGTGTGGTATTTCATTTAGTGTGTGATATTGTGGTGTGGGATACTGTGGCATATCATAGTGTGGTATGTGATGTGGTGTGTGGCATCTCAGTCCGACATGTAATAATGTGGTGTGTCAGACTGTGGCGTGCCATGAATCCATGTGCAATGATGTGTCATGATGTCTGGCATGTCACTGCCTGGTTGAGAGGGGGAAGGGGGAAGGGATGAATCCCCATGGGTGGGAGAGTGGGGGCTGAAATCCCTTCTGTAGGAGAGTGGGGGATGAAACACCTTTGGTGGGTGTGTGGGGGGATGAAAATTCTTGCGTGGGAGAGTGGGGGCTGAAACCCCTTGGGTGTGCTGTGTGGCATGTTACTGTGTGGTATGATACAGTGGGGTCGGTCTGATACATTACGGTATGATACAGTGTGGCAATTTTTAGTGTTGTATGACACAGGTGGTGTGATCATACGGTTTGGTGTGATGCAGTGTGGCATGATGCAGTGCGGTTGGATGCACAGTGGTATGATTCAGTGTTGCTTTTTACCGCGTGACATACTGGGGTGTCCCATGACAAGGTGTGGCATGTCATTTGGTGACATGGCATGGTGTAGCATGTCATTTTGTGACATGGCATAGTGTGGCATGTCATTTCGCGATATGCCATGGTGTGGCATGTCCTTCTGTGGCATGGCATGGTGTGGCATGTCATTTTGTGACATGGCATAATGTGGCATGTCATGTGGTGACATGGCATGGTGTGGCATGTCATTTGGTGACATGCCATGGTGTGCCATGTCATTTGTGGCATGGCATGGTGTGGCATGATATCATGCCATATGCATCTGGAGGGCAGTGGAGCACAATGGAAGGCAAGGAAGACAGTGTGGGAGGGAAGAGGAGGGAAGTGGGGTCGGGGAGTGGAGGTGTGCCTTGCAGCAAGCATGGCTGCCTCACCTGCCATGCCCTTTTGATGCATTGCACGCGGAGGAAAGAGGAGGGAAAGGAGAGGAGGTGTGCCATGTGGCAAGCATGGTTGATCGCTGGAAAGAGAATATATGCCGTTGTGCACCTCGTACATATTGTGAAATATACCTAGATATAAAAAAATGTGATACGACATCATTATATCAATTCCATGTTAAAATAATATATTTGTGTACGGGGTGCTGATTTCAGCTCTTCTGATACGTGAATGCAGTTTTTATTGTTGACTACCTGCTTTGATATCTCTCCTATTTCGTACCATGCAAATGCTCTGTTGACCACTAATTTTTTGTGTTGCCACTACCATTTTTAGGTGCGTCTTTAAGGTGCCAAGAGCCCTGCTGGTCCCAGTAAACAATTAGCTGCTTTAGTTTGAATCCACAGAACTGTTACTTTCAAAACTATATAGGAAGTTGTCCTAGTGAAAGTGATTGAAGAAGCAGTTGCACATATTGAAATAGTGAAAACAACAAGTGGTAGTGTACACGGACTCTTTCAATTTCTGTCTGTTGCTGAGCTATTTGACAACAATGCCAGTGGCAAACCCTCAAATCCTTGCCAAGTTGGCAGCAAAGGGCGGGAAACGAACGTGGGGGAAAGCCGTCGTGACGTGATGGTGATGAGTCGAGAGAGATCTGCGATGCGGTCGGCATTCGGTCGCAAATGTAACACGCCCATCGGTTGGTCCGATGTTTTCGCTCAGCTTGCAAGAAAATTCCTCCCTCGCCAACTCACCAGTTCCATTGACTGGAAATGTACGCAACCAGCCAGCCAGCAGCAGGCACCACCACCAGCAGCACCTCGGTTTGTCAAGCAAGTCTCTCTCCCTCCCTCCTCTCCTCCCCTCCTCCCCTCTCCTCCCCTCTCCTCCCCTCTCCTCCCCTCTCAGTGACAACAACACAACCTCGTCATTTCTTTCGAGGCCAAGCCTCTCTGTCAAGCAAGCACTTCTACGGCAGCACACCCTGATCATTTTTTGGCAAATCGTTGCTGTTTCTCTTTTTACCACCTTTGGTGTGATTTGCAGGCCACGCCCCTCTCTGCGTCTCGCAATAGCAGGCGTAGACTCGCGACGCTTCGCATCGACTCGCTCAACACCTTTTTTTACACCACTCACTTTGTCTTTCCTCCCGTCAAGTTGCCGGCGCACGCTAAGAAACAAAGTTTCAAACTGTCCGTCTCTCTCGACATACGTATCGCCGCTTCTTCTCTCCATTCTCTCCGTCCTCCTCCTCTGCCACCCGCCTCTACTCGTAGTAGCGTCTAACTTTCGATCATCTCGGCACAGCGATACATTATCAAACGACATTGGCGCCAGTGACAGCAATGACCCCGACAGTTATCTTACTACCACGCGAGCTAACCTCCTTAACTCTAAGAACCCTCAAGCGCGTCGCGCATACCTTCCTCGTGACTCGCAACAGCCGCGTTTTCAGGAACCCCGTACAATCCATGGCGGCAGCAATGCTATCGCTAGTAACGACCAATCCAACGGCCGGCCTTTTCGCGGTCAATCCTCCAGGCAGCATCGTGACGTGGGAGAACGAGAAATGCAACCCATTTCGGATACTCCCGAGACGAGCCACTCGCAGCACCACGAAGCCGACTCGCCCGAGGACTATAACCCTAGGCATAGTCTGCTAAGCGTCGTCTCGCCAATGGTGCGACGGCGCGTAGGCGCCATTGGCCGCACCGCTATGGGACCGGACTCGCAGGGACGATTAGTGGGAGGGAGACGGGAAGGATGGCGGCTACGGAACGCAGCGGGGGAGGGGGAAGGATGGGATGGGGGGAGAGCTGGGGTAGCAGTGGCGCAAGCGGGGCAGCAGGGGGGAAAGGGAGGTGGCGCAGTTGTGACGCTGGCGGAGTCTCAAGGTGCGCGCGGAGATGAGGGGGCCATGCGGATGCCATGCGGGTGCCTTGCTGACTCGCCCTGCTGATGCTCGTTTCTAAACGTTACAAGTCTTGCTCTCCTCGCGCCTACGTTGGGCCTCTCGCCTCCGTCTGAGACTTCTCATAAGCTCCTGACTGCCCCTGTCCCTCTCGCCTGCGCTGGACCTCTCTCCTTCCCCATCCACCCCCCGCATGCACGCGCGGATCATGCGCGCGTGCATGCATGTGTCTGCCTGTTCGCCTGCATCCACGGGTTGTGCCTGCATGCTTGTTTGCTTGTATGCCGCTGAACGGATGCCTCCTGCATGGGTGCATGTGTGCATGTATGCATGTATGCATGCGTGCATGGTGCATGGTGTATGGTGCATGTGCGTGCGCATGGCATGGCAGTGTCAGCGCTGGTGCAGCTGAACGAGGCATGGGGGGGCACATGGCCGGGCAACACGAATGCGACCACTGCGTGCCGCCAGTGGGCTGGAGTCACGTGCAATCCCGCTGGATACGTCACTGCCTTACAGTACGCATCGCACCTCTCCCTCTCTCTCTCTTTCTCTCGCCGTTTTTCGAACTTGCGCCCGTTCTCGAACTTTTTCCCTCTCTCGCTCTCGCTCCCCACAAGCTCCTCGCTTTGCATTGCTGTGCAATTCTTTGTTACGCAGTTCTTTGATTCTCGCATTTTGATCCTTAACCCTCTACGCGTTAGCCCTTCTAACCTTCCCTCTTTGGAACCCTTGACCCGTTAGAAAGTAACCTCTAATCTCTTCTGCCATGACTTTTCAGCCGTATAGAAACTCCAGCGTTATATTCTCTTCACCCATAGATGCGCAAACCTTCAACCATCCGCCCCGCCATCTCGCTGCCATTTCCATCCGTCCATACGCCCTTCTCCCACCCACCCCCTCCACGTCTTCTCTTCTCCCTCAGGCTGGACCCCTCTCAGGTGGTGAACGGCAGCATCCCATCCGCGCTAGTGCAGCTCTCCCTGCTCCGAACGCTGTGAGGGGGAGGGGTTGTTGGGAAAGCGCTGGGGACAGGAGTAGGGGGAACGGGAAGGGAGAAAGGGGAGTTGCGGAGGGGAAAGCGGAACTGGAAGGGGAACGAGGGAGTGGAAGATTTTGCAGAAGGGAATTTGAGTCTTCTGGGCTGGATGGTGGATGGAAAGTGGGGGGATGGGGTTGTTGTGTTGCTCCACCTGGTTGTGCATAGTCATGTGCCCCCTTCCCCCCCATTCCCTCTACTCACCCTGCATGCGTGGACGTGTATACGTGTATGTGTGTGTATGTGTGTGTGTGTGTGTGTGTGTGTGTGTGTGTGTGTGTGTGTGTGTGTGTGTGTGTGTGTGCCCGCATGTGTATGTATGTGTGTGACGGCGTGCAGCAATCTGTCAAGGCAAAGGGACCTCAACGGCACGATGGAGTACATACCAGCACTCTCCAACCTCCAAATCCTGTCAGCCCTCTACTCCCCTTTCCTCCATCCTCTCTCTCTCTCTCTCTCTCTCTCTCTCTCTCTCTCTCTCTCTCTCTCTCTCTCTCTCCCTCCCCCACCGCCTTCCCCCAGTTTTACATCTCCCCGGCCGTCACGGCCTGTTTTATGCCATGCCACGCAATGCCGCCGCCATGCCATGTTATGGCACCCGGCTCCATGCCATGCCCTGCTACGCCACACCAAACCCTGCCATGCCATGCCATGCCCCACCCTGCCACGCCCTGCCATACCATGCCATGCCATGTGATGGAATGTAAAGCCATACCTTTTGCACCACTATCACTTCTCATAACTAATCAATCAACCCGTCTCACATGCCCTGTCCTGTTCCCATGCTTTCCTTTCACATACGCCCGCCCACATTCCTCACCATCCATGACCCGCCAGTGACCTTCGTTACTCCAAGTTTTACGGGCCCATACCTGAAGCCATAGGGAACCTTGCTGCCCTTTCCCACCTGTGAGTGTGCTATTGTGCCGGAAGGAACGCACCTCACAAGTTGTTGTTGCGAGATACCCGCCTGTGACACCATGTCATATCTGATCTGAGCGTATCTGAGTGTGCTACCAACCACGCTGAGAGATGTCTCACAAGCTGTCATGCCATTCAGTTCCCTACCGTTCCGATCCATTCCGTTCCGTTCTGTGCCGTTCCATGCTGCGCCGTCGTGGCAAAGAGGAGGAGCGTGGGCACACCTTCCCACCCACACCCACCCTGCTCATACATACTTCCCTTTTCACATCACCCCACCCCACCTGTGTCCACCCCACTCTCCCCGCGCCACCTATTTCCCCCAGCGATCTGCACACATTCTTCCTCAACGGCACCTTCCCTGCCACCATCGGAGCCCTCACTCGCCTCACCTACCTGTAAGCGCTGGACCGCGCTTCCCTTCTGCCCGCCCACCTGCCTTCCTGCCAAACTCTCTTCCCGCCCACCTGCCTTCCTGCCAAACTCTCTTCCCGCCCACCTGCCTTCCTGCCAAACTCTCTTCCCGCCCACCTGCCTTCCTGCCAAACTCTCTTCCCGCCCACCTGCCTTCCTGCCAAACTCTCTTCCCGCCCACCTGCCTTCCTGCCAAACTCTCTTCCCGCCCACCTGCCTTCCTGCCAAACTCTCTTCCCGCCCACCTGCCTTCCTGCCAAACTCTCTTCCCGCCCACCTGCCTTCCTGCCAAACTCTCTTCCCGCCCACCTGCCTTCCTGCCAAACTCTCTTCCCGCCCACCTGCCTTCCTGCCAAACTCTCTTCCCGCCCACCTGCCTTCCTGCCAAACTCTCTTCCCGCCCACCTGCCTTCCTGCCAAACTCTCTTCCCGCCCACCTGCCTTCCTGCCAAACTCTCTTCCCGCCCACCTGCCTTCCTGCCAAACTCTCTTCCCGCCCACCTGCCTTCCTGCCAAACTCTCTTCCCGCCCACCTGCCTTCCTGCCAAACTCTCTTCCCGCCCACCTGCCTTCCTGCCAAACTCTCTTCCCGCCCACCTGCCTTCCTGCCAAACTCTCTTCCCTCCCACCTGCCTTCCTGCCAAACTCTCTTCCCTCCCACCTGCCTTCCTGCCAAACTCTCTTCCCTCCCACCTGCCTTCCTGCCAAACTCTCTTCCCTCCCACCTGCCTTCCTGCCAAACTCTCTTCCCGCCCACCTGCCTTCCTGCCAAACTCTCTTCCCGCCCACCTGCCTTCCTGCCAAACTCTCTGCCTGCCTGCATGCCTGCTGGTCTGCCTGCGTGCCTGCTGGTCTGCCTGCGTCTTCCCTTTTGCAAGCATGCCGTGTCACTGCGCCACCATCTGTTCCCCACGAGCTACGTCGCTTCCCTTCCCCCCACTACATGTCTTCTCTTTATGCTGTCAGCCACCCGCGCTATCACTGATCAACCGACACCATCCCTTTTTTGTCCTTGAAGTTCTCTGTCCTTTCGTCCTTTGGCCACCAGCCAGCCATCCCTACATGGTTGCCTCTTTTACACCGAATTCTGCACAGTGGACGGAACTTCGTTGTCCCTTACATGCCCTCAAAGGGCCATACTCAGTTGAATCTAGGGTCACTCACCCTTCATCAATTTCGATTGGAGGTGCTTGTTGGTGGACTGCCTACCTTGCCTTGCATGACGTTCTTCTGGCCCTCAAAACTCATCGCCTGCATGCCCTGCCCGCCCGCCTACCTCTCCCCTGTGCTTCTTCTCGCCATGGCAGTGATTTGGGAGAGCTGGTAGCAGTCACAGGTCCCTTTGCCAACCTCACATGGCTCTCATCCCTCACTTCCCTGCGCTACCTGTGAGGCATTTCTTTCCCATTCAATTGCTCTACTCGCGCGTAGATTTTCCGCTTTGCCTGTGAAATATTACTTTACAACCCGTATATATATATATATATATATATATATATATATATATCATCTCTCACATGCGTACTTTTCTTCTCCTCCATGCCTTCGACTTTCACCACCCGCCCCTTCCTGTCCTTTGCTCCCTTCCCGCACATCCTCTCTCTCCTCCCCTCCCTCGCCTCGCAGCTCGCTGGCGCACAATGACATGTATGGCGAGCTGCCTCCACTCACCTTCTCCACTCTGCAAAGTTTGACTTTAGAGTCGACCCAAAAGCTCCTTCGTCCCCTCCCCACCCCCCCCTCTCCCTCGCCTCGCAGCTCTCTTGCGCACAACGACATGTACGGCGAGCTGCCTCCCCTCACTTTCTCCACTCTGCAGCAGCTCACCTTCCTGTGAGTGTCACTCCCTTCTAGCCCCCCCCCTGTGCATCTTTGCTACCTCGTCTTCCCATTGAGCCTCTCTCTGTTTTGTCCCTCAGTTTAATCTGATCCCCTCTTTTCCCCTCTGCCTGCGCCTCCCTCTGGCGACTACTCTCTCACCTACTGCTTTATCATCTGCTGCTCTCTCACCTGCTGCTTACCACCTGCTTCTCTCGCCCCTGCTGCTCTGTACGTATGCAGAGACCTAGGCAGCCTCAAGTTTGGCTCCTTCCCAAATTGGATCACCGTGCTTTCCGGCTTGAAATACCTGTGAGGGCTGGCTCGGCGATCACTGTGCTCTGCTCTTACAGAGTGTAGCAAATCGCGATGCTTTTTGGTGTCGTAGCTGTCTGTCAAGCGCTTTTGGCACTCACGTATGAGATAGTAGTGTAGCGATTATAGCTATGAGCTCTCCTGGTGTGGTGTGGTGGCGCTTTCCAGTGTCATGCCAACAGTTGTTGAATCTACTGGGTTCAGTTCAAATGCTGTTTGGCATGTCGTTATAGCTGCAAGAAAGCTGTCCTCCTCGTCGTCGTCCTCCTCCCTTTCTCTCTCCCTCCTCCCCTCCCCTCCCATCCTTTCCCCTTCCCTCTCCCGCTCAATCCCCTCGTCGACCCTTGGCCCGAGTCTCATACTCATTCTTCTCTTGTCCCTCCTTCCTCCCTCGCCACTCCCCGCCCACGCTTCTTTCCCCACACTTCCCTCTTCTCGTCCCCACAGCAATCTGCACGGGCTGGTCCCGGACGACCGCCCTTTCTAAATTCTGAGAATTCTCAAAAGCCCCCCCCCCGCTCTCCCTTGGTCTTCCTCCCTGCACTACTCGTCCCGTCCCCACAGCAATCTGCACGGGCTGGTCCCGGACGACCGCCCTTTCTTCCGCACTGCCATCGTGCCTCAGGACCTCTCCAAGCTCGGCAGCCTTGAAACCTTGTGAGCACACATGCGCACACATCACAGCACAGCGCACAGTGGCACACCTGACGGGAGGGTGCACACAGCACGGCTAGGGGCTGCTCAGTGTGGTACCACACGACAGTACGGCGCAGCGCAGCGCAGCGCAGCACAGCACAGCACGGCACAACGTAGCACGCTACAGCACATGGCATGGCATCCTCCATTCCAACTGCTGCTCTGCTCACTGCGTGTCATTCGCCAAGGCCCCTTCTTATCGCGTCTCCCTTCTTTCTCAGTCGGTGCTTCGAAAGGTATAGTTGACACACACAAGACTATCGTTCTTCCTCTCCCCTGCCTCTGCCCAACCCCGCTTATGCCAGTGATGCGGCAATGAACGGGCTGCTTGGAGTGCTACCAGACTCGTGGGCATCGCTCGTCAACCTCACAAGCCTGTACCCGATCCACTCCTTCTCAAGCCCCTCCTTCGCTCTTTATGTTTTATCTATCTCCTCTCTCTTCTTTCCCAACTGCCTCTCTCCCAAGGCCCTCGTTTGCTTGCAGCCACCTATCTCCCTACCTCCTCTGCTTACTACTTTCCTTCCTCACATTTTCTTGTTCTGCCCGCCGCCTTTGTGTTTCCTCTGCAAGGATATCATCTCTTCTTTGGCATTCTCAGATTGTGACCTGTCTGTTTGTTCAGTGGGCAGTAGTCGATGCACATCCGTAAACTGCCGTTTGGTCTTCTCCTTTCTTGCCCGATTCCCTTGCCTGCCATTGCGTTTCCTGTCTCTCATGCCCTCCGCTCCGCAATCTCCGCATTTCTCACCATCTCCCCTTGCCACGCATCTGTTCTCCACCCATGGACACTGCCTGCCATGGCACATGCATGTGTGCAGCACAATGAGCAGCAACAACATCAGTGGATCCATCCCTCTCTCCTTCTCCAACCCCACCAACCTCCGCTCCTTGTGCGACCCACCACCTCCACCACCACTATCACCATCTTTACTAGCATAGGCGAGCCGTAGGCACAAGCATCAAAGGGATAAGCTGCAACACGTCCGGAGAACGATAAAAAGCCTAACACTGAGATTGGGTCAAACGCCTGTGTACAGCAAGAGGTTATGATAGTAACCAGGCGTAACCGTCTGTAGCGATCCCCTGTCATCCCTTTCTCAGGATGCTGCTAGATGTCAGTCAGATATCTATCGGGCCGTATGAATCTATGGTGGAGTCAACTAAAAATCGCCCCCCTCTCATCTCTTTTTCAGGATGTTGGATGACAATCAGATGTCGGGGTCTATAACTCAGGCCCTCAGTACGAATCTGGAAAACTTGTGAGTGCCAGTTGCTTCAACGGGGCTCTCTCACTCACTGACTCACCCACTTACTCACGAGTTGTAAATGACCTGCAAAATGGTGCACGCACGGCACGCATGTGCTGTGCCGTGAGTCTGCAGCAGTTTGTCACCTGTTGGGGTATTATCGCTTTCAAAAAGAAAGGAAGAAAGAATCTGTTTGTCACACGCCTGCTTTCTGTCTATGTGCGTGCGTGCATGTGTGTGTGTGTGTGTGTGTGTGTGTGTGTGTGTGTGTGTGTGTGTGTGTGTGTGCGTGCGTGCGTGTGTGTGTGTGTGTGTGTGTTTCCTGTCTGCTGTGCTGACAGAGCGCTGGCCATGAACCAGTTTGAAGGGCCTATACCGTCAGTGCTCGCCGCTCTTCCTCTTCTCACTGGATTGTACGTTTCAAATCGCTGCAGTCGTCACACACATCTCTTTCTCCCCTTTGCTTCCTTTGCACCCTGTCCCCCTCGGCTTCCTCCTCCCTCCCCCCACTCCTCCACTTTCCCCACACCCTTCTCTCTCGCTTTTGTTACCCCTCACTCCCCTCCGCCCTCAGTGCCTTGTTATATTTTTCCTTTTAGTCGAATTTCCTGCTCCCTTCCTGTTTCGCCTTATCCACACCAAGGTTCCCCTCCCTGCACCTTGGCATGACGTGCCATGCCATGCCCCATGCCCCATGCCCCATGCCCGAATCATGGCGCGTTTTCCTCGCAGCCGCCCTTTGCTCTCCATCCGTCCATGCTCCCTGGCTGGAAGTTGGTTGGTTCCCCTTGCTCAGCATGCATGCATGCACCGTCCGTTTCACCCAGACATGCCTGATCGTGTAATGGGATTTGCATGGTGCATGGTGCATGCTGCACGGTGCACGGTGTAACATGATGTGTGGAGCAGGTCTATTGAGTCAAATCGTTTCTCTGGCAACATCCCTCCGTACATCTCTCGGCTCTCCTCCATTCAAGACCTGTCAGTACTCTCTTCCCCACTCATGCGCTTATTATGCTACATTTATTCATCGCGTGTCTCGCCACAATCAATGGGGCCATACAATCCTCCTCACGCATTTCTCCTCCTCACTCTCCCCCCCTTCCTCGACCTCCCCTCTTCCCCCCCTTCCCTCTCGTCTCTCTCCATCCATCCAGCAATCCATCCTCAGTCTCCAACCTCTGCCTTCATTTCTTCTCAGTCTCCAACCTCTGCCTTCATTTCTTCTCTCCTCACCATGCCCCTGACCCACCCGTGTCCCGTTCACGTGCAACTGCAGGAACCTAGGAGGCAATCAGCTCACAGGAGGTCTTCCCAGTGTCTTTCCAATGACGTGGCTCTTCTCTCTGTATGCTCGCACATCTCTTCTCCATCATCCGCCTCACTTTATTATTCTCATATTTTCTCGTTGTTTAATCGGCGTGCCAGATATCTTCTTGTGACCACGGCATTTCGCTTCCCTCCCTCCCCCTCACAATCCCCGTCACAAGCACGGCACTGGGGCACCCTACTGAGAGGCCTTCTCTTGTGCTATCACATGAAGCTCTCATTTTCCCTTCCACCCTTGGGATTGCGTCTCACAATTGCACCCTGCCGTGTGTGCCGCCTTGTGCCTGGCTCACAGGACTCTGCAGCGCAACCAGTTTTCTGGCCCAGTGCCTGTTTTGAGACGTCTCAAAAGTCACAATTGCACCCTGTCGTGTGTGTGCCGCCGTGTGTCTGGCTCACATCACATCACAGGACTCTGCAGCGCAACCTGTTTTCTGGCCCAGTGCCTCTTGCACTCTCCCGACTTTCGAACCTGGGCATGCTGTATGTGCTGCACTGCATGCATGCATGCATGCATGCTGCTTTGTGGCTTTCCTGCCCTGCAATGCCATGCCATAGCTTGGTTGGTTGGTGCGGCTCCATGCCTGTGATGTCATTTGCCATTGTCACATGTTGCAAGTCCCACATGTTGCAAGTCCCACATGTTGCAAGTCCCACATGTTGCAAGTCCCACATGTTGCAAGTCCCACATGTTGCAAGTCCCACATGTTGCAAGTCCCACATGTTGCAAGTCCCACATGTTGCAAGTCCCACATGTTGCAAGTCCCACATGTTGCAAGTCCCACATGTCATGTGCTAACTAAGCAGCGGTTCTCAAGGTGCATAGGTGCATGTGTCCCTCGTTGTCAACATTTGTGCACGTATGTGCACATGCACACACACACACACACACACACACACCCACACACACACACACACACACACCCACACACACACACCCACACACACACACACACACACACACACACACACACACACACACACACACACACTCATGGGCTCTTCCAGTGCTGTGTGATCATTCTCACTCTCGCTCTCATCATCACTCTCTCACCGCCCTCGCATGCAGATCCCTCTCTTACAACAACTTCACAGGAACGTTCCCTGCTGCTGCGCTCAACCTCCCCAACCTCAACGCTATGTGCGTCTCACTCACTCACTCACTCCATCGCACTCTCTTCCTGCTTCTTCACCTGCCTTGCCGGAACCCAACAATCTGATTGAAGAACCAAGCAACTGTGTTCAGTCCGCGCACGTACACACTCTCCCATTCCCGCTGTCCTCTCCGTGCATTGCTGAGATGGCGCATGCCCTGTATCCTGGGCTCTCTGGTCCAGCAATGGGCTCTGGGTCCATTCCATCCCATCCTCCTGCTTTCCTCAACCCATCTCCCTCTACCACACACCTACCCCTTCCTCCACCGTGCATCTCCGGCCATCCTTGCGCTGCTGTCTGCTGCCTGCTGTGCTGTCTTGTGCAGTTATTTGGACTACAATCAGTTCACTGGCCCCATCCCTGCTGCTCTCACCCGCCTCTCCTTCCTCGCTACACTGTCAGTGCTCGCCACAACTGAGCTTCATGCTCCATGCCCCGTTCTCCATGCTCCATGCCCCGTGCTCCATGCTCCATGCCTCGTGGTCCATGCTCCATACCCTGTGCTCCATGATCCATGCTCCATTGTTCCATGCCCATGTCCCATGCTCGATGCACCATACTACCTGCGGCACTGTTAGCCTCATTTTGAGCTTTCCCAAGGTGCCTCAAAGATCATCCTTCCATGCTTGCGCATTCCCCAACCCATGTCTATTTCTGCACCTTGGGTCTACTTGTCTGTGCTAGTCTGTGGCCTCACGTGCTCTTGTACCATTCCTTTCACTCTTCTCTTTTTGTCCTGGCTTCGTCTCTTTGCACACGTGCGCTGTCATGCACGGGTGCACTTATCTGCATGCAATTTCATGTGCATGCTTGCTCGTGGGTGTTGTGTTCAATAGTGTTCACGTGTGCATGCATGCTCATGTGCGTGCATGTATCATGTACACTCACATGTGTGCATGTATGCATTGCATTCATCTGCCCGCATGCACCACTACTCATCCTCATCCACCAGTTGACCCATCCCACTCCAAGCAACACATGCGCATCGTCCCGTGCTCCCCCCCTCTCTCTGTCTATGCCTAACCGTTTCTGCAGGAATCTCAACTCCAACCGTTTCACGGGCATCATCCCCCCTGCGCTGCACCAGCTGTCCAACCTCGCTGACCTGTATAACCACCCCGCTGCCTGCCTCCGCCTCTTTTACCAAGTAGTAGGATGAGATGCCATCAAACCCTGCAAGAAACACCAAAAGTCAAGAATAGTTATAAGAAGGAAACCAACGAGAATAGCACCAATTGAGATGTGTTTATTATTAACGGTTCCCACATGCCTGTCATTGATTGGATATCCAAATCTCCTTGCTAGTCTGCTTCTGCTCTGCCTGCCTTCGAACCTCTCTCCCTCCGTCTCCCTCTCCCTCCTCTAACCCACCACCACTTCGCAACCACTCTACCACCTCACCGTTCTTTCTCTCCATCCCATCTCCCGTTCTGCCCTCATGCTCCCACACCACCGCCCACCACCGCACTTGCGGTCTTGCTTGCTGCTTGCATGGTCTGACAGGACGCTTGCAGGCAACAGCCTGCTCGGGCCCATACCGCAGGAGATCCACAACTGGCCCATGCTCTTCCGCCTGTCAGTGCACCCACCTCCTTCACCTGCCTTCCTTGAGGCCTGGTTGGGGGATACATGGTTGGGGAAGCTCGGTTGGGGGGAGGCATGGTTGGGGGGAGGCACAGGGGGAAGCACGGTTGTGTGAACACATGGATAAGGGGCGGTTGGGGGGAGGCTCGGGTGGGGGATAAGCAGCCAGTGAATGGGAGGGGCCTTTTATCGACTTTGACTTGTGTGCAGCATCCTGTGGTTGTCTTAATGATCTTGTGTGTGCTCTCATGTGTCTGCTATGCTGTGCTGTGCTGTGATGTGCTGTGATGTGCTGTGCTGTGCTGTGCTGTGCTGTGCTGTGCTGTGCTGTGCTGTGCGGTGCTGTGCGGTGCTGTGCTGTGCGGTGCTGTGCGGTGCTGTGCTGTGCTGTGCGTCACAGGGACCTGCGCTACAACCAGTTCACAGGGTCTTTGCCTAACTTCACAGCATGGAACACCACAGGCTTGGCCATACTGTACGTGCTGCTGCTACCGCTGCAACCGCCGCCACTGTTGCCGTCACTGCCACTGCTGCTGGTTGTAGCACTGCTGCTGGAGCTGGTTCCAAAGTCGTCCGTTTTGCTGCATTCACTTCCTGTATCCTCCACAGCAGTATCGGCCACATCAACAACACAAAGGCGTAGCCGATCTCAAATCAAGCTAAACATGCTCCTGTTGCCATGTCTTCTCTCCCTCTTCCATTGTCGCCTTCGTGCCTTCCCTACCCTTCCTCTCCGCCTCTCTGTCAGCTACCTCGGAAGCAACAACCTCACAGGCGCTATCCCAGAGTCAATCGGCAACCTCACATCGCTCCAGCTCCTGTAACCTCTTCTTTCGCACCCCTCCCTCACCACCACCAACCCTTCTTTTCATCACCACGAACGCTTCCACTCTATGTGTATGAGGAAGTGTTATGAGACGTCTTAAAACACTTCTTCATACACCTCCCTCACCACCAATCCTTCTATTCGTCACCACGAACGCTTCCACTCTATGTCATACCATACCATACCCTGCCTTTCTAATGCTTTCATAATCCCCTCTTTCGTCATCCATCCTCCCCTCTCAGACCGCCCCTGGTCCCCAGCTTGTCACCCCCACCCACACGGTCATGCTTTCGCTCATAACTATGCCACACCCCTTCTGAGAATTCTCAAAAGTGATTTCAACACATCCCGCACTCCTGTTCCTTTTACCTCTTATCACGCTCCTACCCCCTTTGACTCCACATCTTCCCCCTCCCCATTCCGTCCCATTCCACCCCCCCCCCCCCCCCCCCCCTCCTTCCGTTCACTGCACTCCCAGGTCTCTGGACAGCAACAAGCTCTCAGGTTCCCTACCTGTGAATATCTCTGCTCTCACTCAGCTCAGTGCACTGTGAGCACCGCACCGCTGCCCTTTTTCTTGAGGTGACGATTGAGTCAGTTTGAAAGTCACCTCATTCGCAGGGTCACTACCTGTGAATATCTCTGCTCTCACTCAGCTCAGTGCACTGTTAGCACCACTGTTCCCTCTCCTCCACTCGTCCCCCACGTCCCGCGTTACTCCTCTTGCTCGCTCTCTCGCCTCTCAAGGCTGCCTTGTGATTTTTTAGGCTGCAGTGTGCCTATCTCCTCCTGTTTGTGATTCATTTGAACTCAGCTTTGATTTAGAGAAATCAACTAGGTTTCTAGGGAGACTGCAATCCTGCTGCTGCACGCTCACCCACCAAGCTTCCCTCGCCGCTACTTCCGTGCCTCTGCCAGCAAAGCTGGCTGCAACTTCTCAGCGCCCCTCAGCACATCCCTCCTCCCTCCTTTGCTGCGCTGTGCCTCTCACCTCACCTGTGTGTCCTCTCACCGCCATGCCCACCAGGTCACTGGGCAACAACGCCATTACAGGGGCTGTCGCCAATACTCTTGCCAACCTGACATCCCTGGAGACTCTGTACGTGTCGCCCCAGGCTTGCTTGCCGATTTGCACCCCGGCTTCGTTGTGCCGATGCTTGTTGCGAGCGCCCAGGCTTGCTCTGAGCCAGTTTTGGGCATTGGTGTTCCCATCCCAGTTCAGATTCTTACTCAGGGCTGATGTCATTTCTTCTTTCATCTGTTGGTGCCCCTGCTTCTTGCAAGTGCTTACAGTTCTCGTGCTTGCCCAACTTTCATGTTGCCGTACAAGGAAACTTCTAACCACTCCTACCTTCCCCTCTCGACCACTGCCGCTCCCCACCTCTGGTCAATTCTCGGGTGCCTATGCCTGATGGCTTGTTGTCATGTCATGCAGGTGGCTGTTTGGCAACAACCTCACAGGCACCATCCCGTCCTCCCTCTGCAACCTCACGCGCATGAACAGCCTGTGCGCAGCCCTGCCCCTCTCTGCTCGTGCCCTCTCTGCTTGTCGTGCTCTCTCTGCTTGTCGTGCCCTCTCTGCTCGTCCCCTCTCTGCTCATCCCCTTCCCTCCTTCCCATCCCTCCTCACTCCCTCTGCTAAACCTGGCTAATTCAACGTGCTTTTGGACTTCGCATGACGCCATTTTAACTCAATCCCTCTTTGCATTGGTCTCTTCGTGCTTGTACCACGACTCACATGCCCTGTGCCCTGTGTGCCCTGTGCGTTAATGTGCCACTCCTGCTGTTATGTGTTCTGTCTGTGTGTGAGTGGTGCTGCGAGTGAATGGTATTATCATGTCAAGTCTGCTATGTCTCCTAATCATGATGTGCGCCGTGCTTTGCGGTGGGCTATCAATGGCATGGCGTGGTGTGTAGTGTGTGGCGTGTGGTGGCGTGTGTGGGGTGCAAAACCTCTTGCTCTACGCCACGCAGGGTGCTACGGAACAACCTGTTTTATGGGACCATGCCCTCCTGCCTTGTCAACTTCGCCCAACTTAGAGACCTGTAAAGAAACACAACAGCGCACCGCACTGCCTTACTTCATCACCCACTCCCTTCCGCACGACCATCACCTTGTGGCTTCTCTCCCTCATGCTCCGTTCCCCCATACCACCCATTCCCATCCCACCCACGTCCGCATCCCACCCACACCCCATCCCACCCACACCCATCCCACCCACACCCCATCCCACCCACACCCATCCCACCCACACCCCATCCCACCCACACCCATCCCACCCACACCCCATCCCACCCACACCCCATCCCACCCACACCCCATCCCACCCACACCCATCCCACCCACACCCCATCCCACCCACACCCATCCCACCCACACCCCATCCCACCCACACCCATCCCACTCACACCCCATCCCACCCACACCCCATCCCACCCACACCCATCCCGCCCACACCCCATTCCCCCCACACCCATCCCGCCCACACCCCATCCCACCCACACCCATCCCACCCACACCCATCCCACCCACACCCCATCCCACCCACACCCCATCCCCCCCACACCCATCCCACCCACACCCATCCCGCCCACACCCCATCCCCCCTACACCCATCCCGCCCACACCCCATCCCCCCCACACCCATCCCGCCCACACCCCATCCCCCCCACACCCATCCTACCCACACCCCATCCCACCCACACCCCATCCCACCCACACCCATCCCGCCCACACCCCATCCCCCCCACACCCATCCCGCCCACACCCCATCCCCCCCACACCCATCCCGCCCACACCCCATCCCACCCACACCCATCCCGCCCACACGCCATCCCCCCCACGCCCCCTCGTCCACCAGCGACGTGAGCAACAACTCGCTGACAGGCGTGGTGAACCGCAACATGAAGGGCATGAACCCCGGCTACAGCACGCTCAACATTGCACACAACTTCTTCTATGGCGACCCCACACTCTACGCCAACGGCACCCTCTACTGCCCCGACCAGGTACCTACCTTCCTGCCTACCTGCCTGCCTGCCCGCCCGTCCTCCCGCCCGCCTGCCTCCCTGACCGTTTAGTTTGCCATTCCAATTTTTTTCATATATATATATTCAGCTGCACTTATTTCAGGGTTCTGATTCTCATTCTGCCCGTCCTGCTTACTTTCTCTCTCTTGCTAATCTCCCCACCCGCGTTCCCTTGCTACTACCCCTCCTCAGGTGCAATACAATGCGAGCTTCCTGGACTTCCAGATGACAGGGCGGGACTACACGTCTAGCGGCGGACAAAACGCATACCGGCGCGGGCGGGCAAGTCTGAGCAGCAACTGCTTTGACATGGCGGTGGCAGCAGATAGCTGTGTGGCCAACGAGACACAGAAGACCGATGAGGAGTGCCTGGCTTACTGCGGCCTCACTGCTTCGAACCTGCCTTGCGGGGGGCATGGTGTTTGCGTGCCTGTTTCTGCTGCTGTGGCTGTTGGTGACGGTTCGGGTAATGCACCTGCTGCTGCTACTGCTACTGCTGGTGGAAACTCGTCAGTAGCGGCTGACAGTGCGTACACGTGTGCATGTGATGATGGGTATTACCTGCTCTGGCTGGACAACGGCACTCCCACCTGCTCACTCACTCCTCCCCCTGGTACGATCACACCGCCTTGATGCCTCACCCCTCGATCACACTCCCTGCCTTTGAATATCTCTTCCACTTCACTCTCTTGGCACTTCTCTCTCACTCTCCCCTTCTCCTCCCATCTGTAACTCCTCCCTGCCCTGTTTGTACCGACTCTCCTCTCCCCTCCTCGCCTCTCCCCTCCTTTGTCGCTCCCATCCCTCTCAACCCCATTGCCAGCTGCACCGGCACCAGAAGCGCCACCGTTGTCCACGGGCGCCATCATTGCCATTGTGGTGGGCGGCTGTGTTGCGCTTGCCATTGTCGCTGCTGCTGTGGCTGCTGTGCTCATTCTCCGGAAACAGAAGAAGAGACGTACGTCTTCTGCTGCTGCTGTTGCTGTTGCTGCTGCTGCTGCTGCTGCCACCGCCGGCGGTGCTGAACAGATGCACTCAAGTTACTTGTTCAATCCATGCATGTACACTTCACCACTGTGCATAAGTTTCATCAATTCACCCCATAAAACATGCTATTCTGCCATTCTCCATTTTTCAGACCCTTTTTTTTCGCCCATCCGCCGGCCCCCTCTCACCACCCTCCCATCCCCCTCCCGCCCCCCTCTTCCCCACACCTACCACATCTCTCTCGCCCTCTCCCCTCTTTCCCCACCACCACCACGGCAGGCACGTAGGGTTTAGGATGGACCTGGACGTGTGCAAGGAGTACAGCACAGAGGAGGTGTGCGCCTTCACCGACAACTGGGGCAACCTTTGAGACGTCTCAAAAATCTCCTGCGCACTCACCCCCCCCTCCCCTCCCCCCGCTTCTCACCCCCCGCACCACCACAGGCACGTGGACGGATCTGGACGTGTGCAAGGAGTACAGCATAGAGGAGGTGCGCACGTTCACGGAGAACTGGGACGACAAGAACGTGCTGGGCGAGGGCGGCTTCGCCACCGTGTACCGCGGCGTGAACGAGAACGGGCTGGTGGTTGCAGTCAAGCGCGTTAAGCTCATGTCCAACGACTTCGAGACTGAGGTCTGTGGCCGATTCCTGCCTTGCCTTGTTTGGGTACAGAGCCTTGCCACAGAACAAAGCTTCAGACAGCAGTACAGAGAGCCAAGATGCTTGCTCTGAGCAGAGAGAAGGATCTCCCTACGCCGGCTCTCCTCGTACCGTAATTCACTTTCCCTGTGTCGGCCCTGCTCCTGTTCAGCACTCCGCTCCTCCATCTCCCCTCTCTCTCTCCCACGCTCACTCCGTCCAGGTGCGGGCGATGGCAACGTTGCACCACCCCAACCTGGTGCGGCTGCTGGGCTTCTGTCTGCACATGGACGTGGAGACGGCCAAGCAGGAGCAGGTGCTCGTCTACGAGTTCGTTGCCAACGGGGACCTCGACCACCACATCCGCTCCCCTAAAAGTCAGTCCGCCCATCCGCCATTTTGATGCGCCTCAATAATCGCCTCACTGTAAGCAGGAGTTCGCCTCAATCGTCGTCTCACTTTTGTGTATGAGTTTGTTCTCCAATTACGGTTTAGACCACCTGCTCCCCCAAACGTCCGTCCGACCGTCCACCCGCCTCCCCCCCCTGCCGTCTTGCGAATTCGTTAATCCTCTCTCCACCAGGTTCTATCCGAAGCCATTGCCAATCACTCGCTTTTCATTCCTTTCTGCGTGCTCCGTATCCAGTGGCCTCTCCTGCTGCTGCTTTTCATTAACGTATTTCATTGATGTGATGTGATATTTAATACGATGCAATATGTACCTGCTTGTGACACGACGCATAACAAATCCCATTCTTTTCACGTGAAAACTCAGCAGCATTCCCTACTTCCAGCTCACCCACACGCTGCAACTCTGAAAAGTCCACTCTCAAGCACTATTTCTCAGCACAACCCCCCCCCCCTTTCACGCACTCACTCATGCACTCCCTTCCCCCGCCCCCCCCCTGCGTGCAAGTGCAGGCCAAGATCGGTGACTTTGGGCTGCTGAAGCAGCTGCAGTACGGAGAGGGCAGCAACAACGCCACCAAGGTGGCAGGCACGCCAGGCTATGTGGACCCGGATTACAACCGCACTGCCATGGTCACCACCAAGAGCGACGTGTACAGGTGGGTGCTAGCAGTGGTGCTTGCAGCTGATTTTAGAGTCGACTCTAAGGCAGGCATGCCAGATTGTGCAGTGTGCCCCGAACCCCTCTTCCCCCCCCAAAGGAAATTCTTTCCCTTCCCTCATCCTTTCAGCCCCCATCTGCACCCCTCTCCGTCCTCTCATCCCCAGTTTCGGAGTGGTGCTGTTGGAGATCCTTACAGGCAAGCCAGTCACCATCGACAGGTCCTGCCACATCGGCAAATGGGTATGCTTTTCTTTCTTTCTCGCTCGCTCACTCGCTCGCCTTTCTTCCCGTCTCACGTGCCTGGCCTTCCTGTGTCGTCTCTGCCCTTGCCATGTCTGGACCTGCCATCCTGGCCTTGCCGTGCCTGAATCTGCCGTGCCTGGTTTTGCCGTATCTGGCCTTCCCGTGCCTGCCCTGCCCTTCCCCAGTCTGGTCTTGCCCTGTTGCTTCTTTCTCCAATGCTTCCTTGCAGCACTTGCTTTCTTTGCGTCTGGTCTTGTGCCCTCACTCTCCCACCCCACCGCAGGCGTCCATCTTTTACGCAACAACTAGGTGACGCCTTCTTCCCATCTGCTCCTCCTGCACCCTACCCTCTCCCGTCCTCCCTCTCACACGCTCTCTTCTCCCCTCACCCCCCTCCCCCCCCAGGCGTCCATCAAGCTACACGACTACCAGATAGATGAGCTCAAGGACAAGACACTGACGGCCTCAGAGGACGCTGTTTTGGAGCTCGCAGACATTGCCCTCGACTGCATCAAGCGCCGCGCCGCCCACCGCCCTGAAATGGCAGATGTCGTGCTGCGATTGGGCGCCATGGTGCGCGAATTCTGCCCAGCGGACAGACAGGAGGGAGGAGGAGGTGAGGGAGGAGGAGGAGGAGGAGGAGGAGGAGGAGGAGGAGGAGGAGGAGGAGGAGGAGGAGGAGGAGGAGGAGGAGGAGGAGGAGGGGAAAGGCCTGGGCGTTTTAGGCTGGGCCGAGCGCTTTCGACAGCGGAGGATGATATGGAGATGGGGGGGCACGGGGGAGGGGGTCACAGCCGCATGGACGGGCGGTCCTCGGGGGCTATGACGCTGCGATCTGAGATTGCATCGCTGTGTGCGAACAGTGAGATCATGGATCGGAATCACAGCAGTGCCACCATTAATAATGATGACTCTATGATTGTGGCTGCTGCTGGCAGCAGCTATGTTGGCCTCCAGCAGGGACCCTCCGCACGGTGAGGAACGGAGGAGCGGTAGGAAGGAATGGTTGGGATTGCACAGTGATGTTGGTGTGGAAGAGGGAAGGGAAGATGAGGGTGGGGAGAGGAGGGAAGTACGGTAGCTGTGAACTGAGATGTTGGTTTGACAAAAGTGAGCCTGCAGCCTCTCTGCTGCAACACTATCCCAGACACATAGGGATACGTACACTAGAAAACTGCAATCAGATGCAGGCTTTCTTTGTTCTCACACTTTCCAAATTTCAGTCTTCCTTCCAGAATGTAATTTCCTACCGTATCTCTATGCTGAAGGTGCACGGTAAATACTGGCAGTAATGAATTTTAGACCAGCAATTGTGATCAGCAGTTCTGTACCAGCTGAAGCATGCCCTAACATCCATGTAGTGTTGTGGTGAACCATTCATGCCCAATGCGGAGAGTTGCTGCGTTGCTATGCGACTCTTGTCACTCGCCCTGTTGAAAGGCAGTGCAGATTGCTAGAAAGGCATAGTGCCGTCGTAGCGGAAGCCTTGATTGTACAAGAGAATAGCAAGAGAAACCTTGCAACTGAAAGGATTCAGGACGATGGAATGGATAATGAGAGCACACAGCAGGGTATTTATCCATGCAGCTACCCTGCCAAAGTCTAGCCATCCCCACCAATAATGGTACCTCCAATAATTCTACCCCCATAGTCCTGAACTCCAATAATGCAGCTCCTACAATAATTGCACAATTATTGTAGGGCCTAGAGGCTTATATAGGGAACTACACTAAAACCTAACAGCATATATTATTCTGATGCCTTATATTTCCAACACTCCCCCTTGCTGTAGGTTTTACTGAGGTTCATTCTTGTTGAGGAGGGGGGGATAAGGTGGGTTACCACAAAACCAACCTCACCCTATGCTGTCAAAGTTTCGGACGCGTTGATGCCGATGATTGCGGACGTGACGTGCGGTAACTGTTTTGGTATGCCGCAAGTTCCGCTCCTTGTGTTGCTCCTTGCCTCCAATCTCGCCAATTCCGTACAGTACCAACCTTCCGCTCCACACTGTTCTCGTCCCCCCGCCTTTAGGGTTTCGTCACATCGGGTCACGACTCACGCTCCTCCTATCCCAGATCGATTGCTGCTGCTCCTTCTCTAGCTCGTGACTCTCATTTCCAACAGATCTCGTTCACTCACGGCTGACCTTCCTACCCATATCCAGTTTTCTGAGCGTTGTTAACTCTAGCCATGGCTGCGGCTGCTGCCCAATTCCATTCAGTCATGGCGAAACTCTCTGATTTTCGTCCAGTCGCATTTAGGAAACCGATTCGTAGCTGCTTCGCGTGCTGTTGCAACACCCAGGTACGCGACTGCTGCTGGCATACGTCCTCAACAGCAGCCTGCCGCGCTGGCGCGGAGCGTGCTGCTGCATGTCGCGCGTGACTGCTCGTGAGCGCGACTGCAGCCGTGCGACATTCTGCAGCAGATAAGTTCGCGATTTTAGCAGCCCACACGCACTGACAACGGCTGCAGCTGGCGACTGCAGCGGCTGTCGCAACCCCCTGCAGCATTGTGCGCAGCTGCGACTCCTGTCGCGTGGGTGCTTCTCTTGTCGTGCAACGACTTGAGCTGCGCCTGCAGTGCATTTCGTGCGTCCGAAGTTGCAGTCGCGCAACTGCTGCTGCCAGTGCACGTCGTCTACAGCAAGGCTCGCTGTCTCCCCCTGCATCATGGCGCGAGCTCCAGCAGCAGGGCGCGCATCTTCTTCTGCTTCTCCTGTCGCGCTGCTGTTGGTGCGCGACCTCCTCCTGCTACTGCGGACGACCTGGTGCTCCTGCAGCGTTTGCAGCGTCTTGCGCATGACTGCTCCGCCCTCATTCGGCGATTTGCCTCGCGTCAGCAGTCGCTGACGACCTGGCGCGAGTATGCTACTGCATCGGCGGCGGCCACCTGCTCTTGCTACTCGACGTCTGCAGCACCTGCTGCTCCTGGCGCGGGTGTGTGGCATCTGCACGGCGACACTTGGCGCTTGGAGAGTGGCGGCAGCATCCAGCGAGCGAGAGGGACCAGCACCAACTGACACTCAGCTGCTGGACTGGCGACCGGCGCTCGGCAGCATCATCACCACCCGGCGGGCTGCAGCGGCACACTTCCTTGTGAGTTAAACCCTTCATTCTCCTAGTGCACAGGAGTAGATGTCGACCCTTCCAATCGTCTTGATTGAGCTCACATCACTTGACTAACCTTCGCTTTGTGTCACTCGGCCCTGCAGGAGCTGGTGACGGGCAGCAGCTGCAGCTGGTGATGCACTGGAACAGCACCAGCAGCGCCTGGCGTGCGGCAGCAGCACCAGCAGCTCGTGGCAGGCGGCAGCAGCACCATCTCCCGGCAGTACGGCTGCAGCTGCGTGCCTTCTCCGTCGTGACTACGTGAGTAACTTTTCATTTCATTCTCCTTAGTTTTCTTCCTTTGAAGAAGTACGTAGCCCTTCCACTGTAGTCTCCTTACACTGCTTGACCAGCTGCTCCAGATTAAATACTTCTCCCGTGTGCTTTTGTCTTCAGGTGGCGCACAGCAGCAGTAGCAGCAGCAGCAGCAGCTCCTGGCGCCCTGCACTAGCACATGCCCGGTGACAGCTGACGGTGAGCAATGGCGGCAGCACCTTTACACCTTTATACCATTGTTGTCACGTTTGGGGCTGCCACCATTTCGAGGAGAGATCGAACGGCTGTTGCTGGTACGTCGGTTGGTCCTCCTGTTTTGTTGTTCCCACCCCGGTGGTGACCATCCTGGTGGTGCCGTGTGACACTTGTAGAACGGGTGGCCCAGTTGCTTGCAAAACCAGCACATGAGAGTTGAGCGTCCGCCTTTTCCATCATTGCCCTCCATTTTCTCTCCGTACGTTGCTTGATGTCCTCCGTTTGAAGTTGCAGCATTCATGGTCCCGGATTTCTCCGTTGCATGTGATATGTCGATGCACGCTTGACCAACCATGCGTTGCTTCCCGCCGTTTTGATCGTAGGAGTGATGCTTCAGCACATCCGCGCGATCACGTCGCAAATCACCATTTGACTGCATCCCCTGTCCCGTGTGCTCCATGCTCCATGCATGATCCACTCCCATTAGTGGACGAAGCGCGCGAGAAGGTATGATGCCGTCTTCAAGAAGGTGAGATCTGTCCATTACGGGGGCTCCAATGGAATAAGAGTTAGTGGCAAAATGTTGAAGTGGGGGAGTACCATTAGTGTAAGATTCCAATCTCACACCTTTCACGCCCACTTGATCAAATCTATCATTCTCTTCACCAATTTGCACGTTTAACTTCGCTCTCAATGACGCTTGAAGTGTTGGCGGCGCTCTTGCAATCATGTTCTCCAGGTGCTCATGTTGAGCCAAGATTGTTTCTTCAACCGCCTTGTATCCAATGTCGACTTCATTGTCGAACACCTCCATGCCTTGATCCAATAGTTGCCTCTTGCTATGCCAATTTGCTAATGTGCCTGCCCAATATGAATGATCACTGAGTTCTGACCAAGTTTCGGCAGCATGCCCCCTAGAGTAGCTCTGATACCATGTCAGAATCCCAACCACTAGACCATTGGGATAAAAGGGCTTGTTTGCGTAGCGGGTAAGTGCGTCCATAACCCCCCAGGTCAACGTGCCTGTAACCCTTCCTTAGGATCAATTGGGGATCACCAGTGGACATCTGACACCCTTCCGCACTGAGATGCCCGAAGTGCACACACTGGGATTCGAACCCGAGACCTTTGCTCTGATACCATGTTAGAAAGGCATAGTGCCGTCGTAGCGGAAGCCTTGATTGTACAAGAGAATAGCAAGAGAAACCTTGCAACTGAAAGGATTCAGGACAATAGAATGGATAATGAGAGCACACAGCAGGGTATTTATCCATGCAGCTACCCTGCCAAAGTCTAGCCATCCCCACCAATAATGGTACCTCCAATAATTCTACCCCCATAGTCCTGAACTCCAATAATGCAGCTCCTACAATAATTGCACAATTATTGTAGGGCCTAGAGGCTTATATAAGGAACTACACTAAAACCTAACAGCATATATTATTCTGATGCCTTATATTTCCAACACAGATGATGGTACCCTGCTCGAGTTTGCTAGCTTCAGCAGATGGATGAGCTTCAACCTCTACTCATCTCATTGACAAATATCCAGTCCAAGTGTGAGCCTCTGTCCTAAGCTTGTTGCCTGAGTTGTTGGTAGTGAGTGATGCATGAATGTGGAGATTAACTTTTCGATTTTCAGCCCATGTGTGTTCAGGTACGACGAAAGGAGGTTCACAGCACAATCACCAGCTTTTTAGATCCTGCTGCAATAAGCAGCTAAATGCCAGCACAAAATCATATTGCTCATACAAAATCGTCTTGCTCAACAAGTACACACACACACAAACAAACCAACCCAAAATGGAAAAGGCAAACCTCCCTGGAGGATGAGGATTCGGGTGTGCTTAATTCAGGAATCAGGATTCGGGAGGACTCCATTCCAACATTCACTAATGTTAGTTATACGGACATGGGGATTGTCTCGGGCTGAAAGACATGCAAGGGAGTGGGCCTCAGCTGAGAAGAAATCCTTGGCAGAACAGAACAGAGAGATGCCGTGGGTAGGTGCGATGCGAGGATGAGGAAGCAGTCAGGACAGGTGAGGAGCAGAGTGTCTGTTGTTGTCTGATAGGGCCACAGACAGGGCTGATGGCTGTATGCTGTTGGCTGCTGGCAGTGTTGAAGTGTGCTCGGCTAGAGAGCTGTACTCCCTTACCTTCCACCGCAGCGCATGCTGCTACGGAGGAGGATGTGTCAAGTCAATGTCCGTACAAACGCCCAGCTCGGATAAAAACACCTGTTTGGCAAGTGGTGCCCCCTCCTCCCGTCCCCCCTTCCCCTCCCCCCCTCCTCTGCTGGGAGCAGAGCAAAGCAGCTAGCAACGGGTTAGGAGGGTTCGCATCAGGCCATAAGGCTAGAGTACAAGGTACAGGGAATAAGGTATAGATTATGGAGCTTAGGGTTTAGAAAATAGGGTTAGGGTTAGAGTTGGGCTGACGGTTAGGGTACATTGAGACAGGGAGTCCATGTGCCGGCAGGGTCGCAGATCCACATTCCCGAGGGCACAGAACTAGGGCATTCGAAGCCGTTGCAGGACTTGAAGGCGCCTTGAATGTTATAATAGTAATTGCTGTTGATTCCTGCACACTGCATGGACGTTGGAATTCCCTTGGTGCCCGATGGGCACTGCTGCCCGAACGCTGCTTGGCTGGACAGACACACCTGAGGTGAGAGGGGGAAAGGGAGGGGATGGGTAGGGTTGGGTGGGACACGGGAGAGCGAGGTTGAGAGAAGAGGAAGACGAGGGGGAGATGAATTGGAAGGACAACAGGGCGGCAGGTGATGCAGGGAAAGCGGTGTGGGTAGAGGAGAGCAAAGGAAGGAGACAAGGCATGGCAGGAGGAATGACAGGCAGGAAACCGGCCCTCCCTTCCAGCACCGCATCACACCGCATATCACCCCGCATCACCGCGCGTCACTGCACCTGGAAGCCAAAGTATCCTGACGAGCTGGTAGACCAGGAGCTCTCGCCCAAAATGCTGACAGCAGGCGCCATGTGGTCGCAGTTAATCCCCATGTTCAGGCGGAAGAAACTCAGCGGGGAGAGAGGAGGTTTGGCGGAGAGGCGGAGTGAGTCGCAAGTATCGCTGGCAGTGACGCTGCGCCACTGAGAGCACTCGTAGCGGAAGCCCGCTAGAGCAGGGTTGCGTTCCACACACAGGGCAGTGTTGGGCTTGAGTGGTACTGTGCAGTCCAGACCGCGGTTGAGAGCGGTGATATTGGTGAGGTTGAAGTAGGTTTGGAGCGATGCACAGGTGTCCTTCTGGTGAAGGGGGAAGGGGGCGGGAGAAACGCGCGGGGGGAGTGGAAGAAAGGGGAAGTGTGGTGGGTGGGGAAGGGGGGGGGGTGAGGGGTGAGTGCGGGAAGGGGAAATTGGGGTGGAGGGTGTGGCTAGGTAGGAGTTGGTTGGGTAGGGAGGAGTTTGGGAAACTAGAGCAGTGCAGGGTAGAAAAAAATGTTGTGGAAAACAACAGTTCCAAGCTAGCTAACACAGTAGAGTGAGGGAGAGGGGAGAGGGAGAGGGCAGAGGGAGAGGGCCGAGGGAGAGGGGAGACGGAAGAGGACACAGGAAGTGGGCGGGGGAAGGGCAGAGAGCGCACGGAGGAGGTGTAGTAGAGGACGGTGCAGGCGGAGACGGTGACTGCAGAGGACACATCCACCTCCGTGCCCACAGGGATGTCAGCGTTGCAGTTCACCGTGGGCTGGTGGGGCGGGAGGACAGGCAGGTGCCAAGGGGGGGGGGTGGGATGGCATGGGGTGAAATGAGGAGGATAAATGTTGGGTAAACGTGGGGAAACGGGGGAAAGCGGCTGGAATGTGAGAATGTGAGGGAAGGAGGGGGAGCGTGAGGGAGACAAGAGAGAGGACCATTTGTAAGTGACATCTGGCATGTAGCGTAAAGCGTGGGGCACGAGGCATGTGGAGCGTACGTTTTTGGCCTTGAACTCTGTGAGAGTGAGGCTGTAGATGGGGTGGATGTCTGAGCACCGAACGTTGCTGAATGTCACAATGTATGTCGTCCCCGCATCCCCTGTTGGTGCCACAGATAAATTCCACACCATGCCATGCAACACCATACCATGGCACAAGCAAACACATGGGAGATAGAACCACACATCAGAGACAGGAAAGAGACATTATTCATAGTCACGGCACGGCACTAGCCAATGAACAAGCGAGTAACAATGAGGAAGCAGCGGCAATCGAGCAGGGAGGCAGGGCTGACCGGGGAAGCAGGACTCGGAGCCATCAACTGTGAGTTTGTGCCAGTAGCTCGGCGGCCACACACACGAGTACGGCCCCTTCCTTTCATTCACACATACGTTTGAGTCACTTTCGGGAAGTATCAGAACTTACCGGGGAAGCAGGACTCAGAGCCTTCATCAGTGAGCCCGTGCCAGTAGCCCGGGGGGCACACACACGAGTACGCGCCCTTGCCGTCATTCACACACGTGCCCACCAGGCATGGGTTGCGGTTTGCTGTCCCACATGCATCCACTGCAGGGCAAAGAGAGGAAAGGAGAGGGCCAAGAGAGTAAGGAGAGGGAAAGGAGAGGAAGGAGAGGGAAAGGAGATGAAGGAGAGGGAAAGGAGATGAAGGAGAGGGAAAGGAGATGAAGGAGAGGGAAAGGAGAGGAAGGAGAGGGAAAGGAGAGCGAAGGAGAGGGCAAGGAGGGGGAAGGAGAGGGCAAAGAAATGCATGGGAAGGGAAGGAGAGGAATGAGCACGAACATGGAGAAGTGGGACAGGAGAGGAGGAAAAGGAAGGGTGTATTTTGCACGAGAAGAGTAACTAGCCGTCACTTGCTGCAGAGGAGAGGCGTGGAGGGGGATTGCAAGTGGCGTGTGAGAAGCATGTGAGTCGAAAGCAAAGGGAGAGCGATTAGGAACAGGTGGAGGGCGAGATGGCATGGGGGCGCCACGTGGAGTAGAGGGAGGGGTACAGAAGCCGCAGGTGGCACAGAGGGTCAGAGGGCACAAGGGAGAAAATAGTGAGTCGAGGTGGCAAAGACGGCAGGGAGGGCAGGGAGGGCAGATAGGGCAGGGAGGGCAGATGGGAGGCGTACAGTAGGCGCAGGTGCGGGAGCCGTCGGTGTTGGTGGCCATGACGAAGGGCAGCTTGCAGTCACACACGTTGGTGGTGGCGTTGGCAGGGTCCACGGAGCATGTGAATCCCCCACACGGGTTCAGCGCCGGGCCCCCCGATACTCGGAACGAGCTGGGGTTGCAGGGGTTTGTGGGGTCTGTGTGGGTAGGAGGGGAGGGGTCGAACGAGGGAAGAGATTCGGCCAGGGGATATGTGGCGAGGAGAGAAGAGGAAAGGTCGAAAGGAGGGAAGGAGGAAAGGGGTAATACAAGAGAAGGAATCAGGTAAAGAGGAAAGATATTTCAGGTGCTTCAGAAGGAGAGGAAAGAGTGTCAGGGGGTTGAAGGGGCACTATAGATCGGTGAAAAACAATGGCAGGGAGCAAAAAGGGCGCCTCAGTACTTGTTTCTTCACTCCCTCCCTCCCTCCCCGCCACCACCACTCCCCTCCCCTCCCCTCCCCTCCCTTCCCCTACTTTCCCCCAACCTTCCCTCTCTCCCTCCCGCCGCGCCCGCCTCCTCCCCTCTTCCCTTAACTCACCCTTCACAACAGGGACAAGAGCGGGCAGAGTGTTGACTCCACAAACGCCATTCCCCCCCTGGATGGCCATTCGCATATACCCTCCCGAGCCCCAGTCCGGCCCCCACGAGTTGCGGATGATCCAGTAGGGCGGCGCCAGCCCTGGTGCCTTGGACTCCACACCCGCTATAAGGTACCCCACTATTACCACCACGTGGTTCAGGTTGAACGAGTAGCACGAGGGGTCCTGGTACACGTAGGTCTGGCGGATGGGGGAAAGAGGGGTGGGGAGGGACGGAAGGAGGGTGGAGTGTGGGGAGTGGCAGGAGAATGAAGGACGTTGGGCTAGGTTGGGTGATTGGGGTTTGCAGGTATGTATATGGTAGATAAGAGAGGAGGTGGTTGGGTTGGGGCGGTTGGGCCTTGCCAGAAAAAAGAATGGGCATGAGGGAGGGAGGATGTTGGGGAAGGAAGGAGGGAGCGCGTCGCAACAGGGATGGTTTAGATGGGAGGGGAGGGGAGGAGAGGTGGAGGGCAGCAATGAAGAGTCGGAGAGATGGGGTAAGAGGGTGAGGAGGAGCGGATGGAGTGAGAAAGCAAGCGAGCAAGCAAGCGAGCAAGCAAGGAAGGCCCAGAGGCTGGTTGAAAGGAAAGGGTTTAGGCAGATAGGTAGATAGGCAGGCAGGAAAGTACCCCATCGTAGAGGCGGAAGGAGTCGGCGTCGGCCTGTATGTGCACGATGGCTGGCTGGCGCTGCACGGCCAGCAGCAGCCCAAACCACCCCTGGAACGACACCTTGGCGTATGACTCCACCTTGTACGGTGTGTTCTCACACACACTCGGGGGCTGGTGGGAGGGAGGGGGAGGGGGGGAGAGGGGGATGGTGGGGAGAGACCGGAGGGTCAAAAAGGGAGAGACGTGAGAGGGTTAGCAGGCGGCTTAATGGACGACCAGCCGTGGAACGACACCTTGGCGAATCATGCCACTTAGTAGGGTGGGTTCTCACAAGGGGGGCTGCACGCAAAGGGGGCGGGGGGGATGGGGAGGGGGGGACGGTGAATAGAGTGGAATGGTGACGAGAGGTCTAAGGATGCCATGCAGCCTTGTACAGTTTTTAAGTCGACTTAAAAATTTTTAAGTCGACTTAAAAATCGAGGTCTAAGGATGCCATGCAGCCTTGTACGGTTTTTAAGTCGACTTAAAAATTGACGAGAGGTCTAAGGATGCCATGCAGCCTTGTACGGTGTGCCTCTCAACTCAACACATGGACCTGGGGGGTGGAATGGAAGGACAGCTTGCTCTGTTCCCCAGACATACTCCTTCCCGTAACGAGCGCCATGCATGCACTCACCGAGGAGGAGGCAAGGCTGAGACCACAGCCCGCATTGGTCATGTTGATGGCGTATTGCAGGGCGAGCGCGGGCGAGGAGGGTGTGCAGGTGGACGAGCCCGTGGCCTGCAGCATCTGCGTCACCGACAGCTGCGGTGCAGCCGAGGCCCCGCTGTGGAGAATGGCGTGCGCTGACTCGATGCTTGCAACCGCTGCGAACGCCCAGCATGCCTCTGCAAAGGAGAGACAGAGAGGGAGGGTAAGAGGAGGGGCATATGGGAACAAAAGAAGGGGGCAGGGGAGGGACGTATTATAGCACCAGAGAAGTGGAGACAACGATCATGACAGGGTATTTTTGAGATTTCTGAAAAATATTATGATAACGGACAGACACGTGCAGATGACCATGATACGAGATTCCCGTTCTTAATCCAACCTGCAATCTCACCCATCCCATCCTATCCCATCCCATACAATCCCATTCCACCCATTCCACCCATTCCACCCATTCCACCCATTCCGTCCATCCCCATTCCCCTGACATTGCCAGTGCACCGCAGCCGTTCTGGTTGAGCGCAGGCGCAATGAAGGAGGGCGTGAGTCAGGAGGAGAAGTTGAAATGAGGCGAGCGTTTCATTAACCAAAAAAAAAAAAAAAAAAACACACACACACACACACACAAGGCGAAGCAAGACTCACCGCAGCCGTTCTGGTTGAGCACAGGGGCGATGAAGGAGGGCGTGAGCCAGGAGGAGAGTGAGAGCAGCGACCACGAGTCAGAGCCGTCCGGGGACCGCGCATAGCCTGCTGACGCGTACTGGAACAGCCGGTTGCTGCCGTAGCTCGTCACCTCTTTCAACGGGTCCAGACCCAGCGGCATGTCTGCCGTGGCGCGCATGGGTGTTCGAGAGGGGTGGTGGGGAAGGAGAGGGAGGGAGAGAATGCCGGACGGGTACAGGGGGGAAGAGGGAGGCGAGTAGGGGAGGGTCAGGAGAGAGGGGAGGAGTAGGTTCGGGTTGAGTTGGGGGGGGATGAAGATGTGGGGGGCCCGAGGAATGGAAGGGAACGGGCGGGAGAGAGTGATGGGGCAATGGGCAACTATGACATGACATGTTGATATGCTGCGGTGGAGTCCTGTGACTGTAGTGGAAGAGGGAAAGCAGGATGGTGTAGTAGGGAGAGGAGGGGCTAGATTAAGAGGGGTGCAAGGTGAGGTGTGCTTGAGAATATCAAAATGAGAGGAGTGCTGTGAGCAGGTTGCTGTGAGGAGGGTGCTGAGCAGGGTGTGTACCAGGTATTGCCACTTGCGTTTGCTGCACCGGTGGCACTGCAGAACAATGAAAAGCACATCAGCAACACAGAGAAAGGAGAGAAAGTTCAGGCACGTAGACGAGTGGCGGGGGAGGAGTCGAGCCGGATGAATGATGATGGAGAGGCATGGATGGATGGTTGAGAGCGGAGCGACTATTGAGGCGCCCAAAAAACTGGTGGTCAGGCATGTGAGAGAGCGGTGTGGGCAGAACACAACCAGAAGAGGTGCACGTGCAAGTCCTAACCCAACCCTCTAGCTGCTGTCAGGCAAGTGCGGGGCGGAGGCAGTATCAGGGAGAAGGGAGGGAGAGTGGGAAGAGGACGCGAAGAAGAAGAAGAAGGAGAGGAGGAAGCGCAGCTCTGCTCCGTCCGTTCTCACCAGTGGCAATGCTCCAGGACGTGACGGTGTGGCGCATGGGCACCTTCCCTGCCGACCCCGTGAACCCAAAGTAGTAAGACGACGCGCTCGCTGACGGTGCCAGCAGATCGCACAGATCCACCGCCACTCCAGACAGCAGCGCCTGGCTGGGCTTGTCGGAGCCATCGTCCACTGCTAGATACACCCACATCTTGTGCTGATCCGCGTCGTAATCCACCCACAAGCGCCGGTCGAGAAGCGTCCTGGGAATGACGAGGAGCAGCGTGGTGGGCTTTGCCGAGGCGAGAGTTGTCGCGCCGCCGTTGACTGAGATTGCCACGTGCGGGGCAGGCCCGTCGCCGGCGTTGCTCGCGTCCTGCGCTGCATCCATCTCCACCGCAACGGACCCAGCCAGAGAGAAGTACCCGAGCCCGCTCCCCCCCGTGCCGACCGCGGCGGCGGGCGAGATGACAAACGCCATGCCCGTGGCGTTTTGGTTCACCCCAACGGACTCAATACGAAAGGAGAAGGTGGCGTTAAAGCTGAGCTCTGTGCCGCAGACAGGCTCTGGGGTGGACGCGGGATTCACAGGGGTCCCTGCGGGAACGCTCGCGGGAGGCGTGATGGAGAAGAGACGGATGGACTGTGGCATGTAGGCTGCTCCAACGCTGTCGGGGCCGCTGGTGAGTGAGAGGACTCCGGTTTTGAAGGTGGCGTTGGCTAGGAGAATGGGCGTGAGGAAGGGATCTGAGGAGTCGACTGCTATGCCGATGGCGACGCCTGGGGGGATGGCGGAAGGGAAGTGGAGGGGTGGAGAGGGACGGAAGGACGAAGGGGGAGGGAATGGATTGGACAGCGGAACAGGGTTGAGAGGGAAATAAAGAGAACTGGGGGGTGAATAGAGGAGAAAAGGGAGCGCTAGAGAAGATGGGAGGGAAGGGAAGCGGAAACGGGGCACACAAGAAGACCGCACAGGCAGGGAAGGGCAGGCAGTGAGGCACGTGAGAGACACGAGCAGGGCGTTCACTGGTTGGCGAGAGTCGAGAGTCGAGAGTCAAGAGGACTTTTGAGACGTCTCAAAAAGAGTCAAGAGTCAAGAGGCACTCACCGAGAGGCACACAATTAGTGCGGCGCTGACCGAGCGCATACCCCGTGTCACAACTGCACGTGGGAATCAGATTCGGCCCGTCTAAATAACACTCCCCGTGGCCCCCACACGGCAGGTCCGACGGACTGGTCCCGCAGAACGCGTGGCAGACCTCCAACGGGCGCTGCTGCGTGGAATCGGGGCCGGTGCAGGGGTAGTCGAGGGTGACGGCGAGGCAGTTGCCCGTGATGGTGCGGGGGAGCGTGCAGTCCGCCATGAGGCGCAGGAGACCAAAGGAGAAGTAGTTGTTGGATACTCGGTAGATGGCCGCTCCTGGCTTAGGCAATGCTCCCGCGAATTGATTGTCGGAGAGGTCTCTGGAGGGGCGGTGAAAGGGGGAAGAGAGAGGGGGAGAGGAGGGGGAAGAGGAGGGGGGAGGAGGGTGGGAAGGGCAAGGGCTTGGTTGAGGTTGGGAAGAGAGATGTGAGGTGGATGGATGGATCATGGATGGTGTAAGGCCAGATGGGTTGGTGCTAGCAGCAAGAAACACAAGGTGACAGAGGGTGCAGAGGGTGCAGCGGTTGCAGCGGTTGCAGGCAGAGTGGGTTGGCCAGGATGTGGTGGAACGGGTAGGGGGACGAGGAGGCAGAAGTGAGAGAGAGAGTGGAGAGGGGTTGCTTACAGCGAGGATATCCTGAGCTTTCCCAGCACGTCAACAGTGCCCCATAGATTGTTGTCAGACACGTCCCTGGTGCATACACGAGGCACACACACGGCACACACGCAGGGGGTACAGTATGAGGAGGTGCATGCGGTGGCGATGGGGGAAGCTACGACAAGGCAGGTAGCGAGGGGCAACAAGTTGCTAGAGGCGAAACAACAGGCGGGCAGCAGCAGCAGCGGCGGCGGCAGTGGCAGCGGTGGTAGCACGTACAGGGTCTTGAGCTGTGCGAGTGCTGCCATGCCCAGCGGTAACGGACCCGTCAACAGATTATCGTTCAGGTACCTGCACACAGACACACATGGTGTGGTGGTGGGGAAGAGGGAGGGGAGGAGGAGGTGGACGAACAGTCAGAGTTCTGGTGTATCCAACTGAAAGGCGTCGCAAGTAGGAAGGAGGAGAGTGAGCAGACGAGGCATGCGCAGCGCACAGTGGCAGAACTGGGGAGAGTGTGCGTGCCCGTGCAGGGCGTGTGACGGCACGGCAACAGTGCCCTGCCCCCAGGAGGGACAGAACGGGCGGGTGCAGTGCAGCTTACAGCTCCTGTAAGCCTGCAAGGCGGCTGATGCTGTTGGGGAGGGAGTCCTGAAACCAGTTCTGCGCCAGGTTCCTGTTGCAGGGGCAAGGGCAGTAGGGCAGTGGGGAGTCGGGTGGGGGGGAGTGGGGAAGTAGGGTATCAAGGAAGGGGACGCGGATAGAAAGGAGCGAGTGTTTGGTGAATAGGGGGGCGGGGGAGTGGGAGGAGTGGCGGAAGGGCAGACGTGGCAGAGAAATCGCTTGTGAAAAAAATCCAAGGGATGATGCGGCAATGAGAAGGGGCAAGCGAAGGGGCAAGAGCGGATGAGGAGGAGATTCGTACAGGGAAGTGAGGCCGGTGAGCGCGGCGATGGTCCGTGGGATGTAGGAACCGAGTGTGAGGTAAGGCAACCAGCTGTGAGGAGAAGAGGGACGGACAGATGCAAAGGAATTGGGTAGAGGAGCAGGAACAGAGGAGAGGAGAAGGAACAGCGGGAGGGGCAGGAACAACGGGAGGGGCAGGAACAAGGGGAGGAGAAAAAGGGGGAAGAGTGAGCGACAGAGGGAAGAGCGGGAGGAGAGGGAGGAGAGCGTTGCATTCGGCACGTGGCGGGGATGATGATGCGAGAGAGGAAGGAAGGTGCCATGCCATGGCGGTGCTCCTCCGCTCCTCAAGAGAGTCTGTTCAAGGGTGTTCAAAACAACAAAGTGGTGTGCAGTGGTGGACCGGTGGATGGTAGCAGCAGGGCTTGTGGGTGGGCTGGGCTGTTGTGTTGAAACGTTGAAACGTCGAAGATGAGATGACAACACAAGAGCGCTGCGCACGAGAGTGTGACTCACAGGCGGATGACGACGCCCGCCTTGCTGCACGTGACTCCCAGCATGGCGGCGCACGGCGCGTTGCTCCGCCAGCCGTACGCGCTCATGGAATCCCACACCTTCATTAGATCGCTCAACGCGCTCCCTGTCATGCGCGCATGGCGGACAACACGCGGGGGGAGAGGGAGGGAGGGAGGGAGGGAGGGAGGGAGGGAGGGAGGGAGGGAGGGAGGGAGGGAGGGAGGGAGGGAGGGAGGGAGGGAGGGAGGAATGAGGAGAGAGGGATTAATGAGGAGGGAGGGGAAGGAGACGTCACGGCAGCAAGGAGCAGAAAGCGTGGTGGCAGCACAATCGAGAGACGCGAGTCGAGTCAACAGCAAGCATTCCAAGCGCCGCAGAGCATCGTCTTGATTGATCTTCACGCAACTCGAATCAGCCTCGAGCCACGAGCAAGCCCCACCACGCCCCCGGTGCTCACATTGCGCCCCGATGGGTCGAATCGTGGTGCTTTGCGCCACGGTCGACGGCACGCAGATGACGGTGCCGTTGCTCCCCGCGCCCGCGCCCACCACCAGCTCTTCGCACGGCCGGTCGGAATTATACTTGCGGAACAGATCCGCGTTCGCGAAGAAGAACCGCGTCGCGAGCGTCGTGCACGTCTCGTCCGCTTTCGTCGCATACGCCACGGTGAAGCGCGGGCACGAGGACATGATCGCGGGCGGCGGGGCCTGCCCCGACGATCCGATTCCTTCCGCCCTGGGAACGCAGATGACGGACCCGACGTTGAGCGGCTCGGAGCAGCTGTATCCCGTCGTTTCCGCGAAGGCGGGGTTCGAGTTGCCGAAATACGTCGTTAGGAGGTAGGTGCAGGTGTCGTTGGCCTTTAACGGGTAGCGCTTGAAGCCGCGCGGACAGATCACTTGAATCGACTGGAATTAGGACGAGGGGAAGGTAGGTGGGGGTAGAGGTGGGGGGGGGAGGAGACGGGGTGGAGGAGGGGATGGGAGGGCGGAAAAAGGGGAGGGAGGGGAAACGAGAATGGGCAGTGGCGATGGTACGGAAATCACCGGAGCATCAGCGGCAGGGGGGAAAAGGGAAGGGGGAAGAGGGACAGGGGAAGGGGTGAGGACGGCACCTTCCCCTTAGGAAGGCAGATGGTAGCGCCAGCCTGGAGCGGGTCAGCGCAGCCGGCGGTTCCCGTGAATTCCGCGAATGTGTCATTGGAGGAGGCGAAGAAGGTAGCTAGGAGGTTCGCGCACGTGTCGGAGGATTTTATCGAGTAGCGCTTGGAGCCTGGCACGGAGCACTGTGCTGCTTCACTCGCCTACGGTGGGGGAAGACGCGGAAGAGCGGGACGTACGGGAAGGGGGAACGGGAAAGGGGGGATACGGATGGCGCTTTCTCACAATGATGTAGCGGCTGGGGAAGGACAGGGAAGATGACGGGGGGAGAGGGGAGAAGGAGGGATCGTGGCGGCGGCAGAAGGCGGACTTTTGAGAATGCTTGAATACAGGTGACACATGGTAGGAGCAACGGTCGTTCGGGAGTGGTTGACCGCGAGACGAAGATAGGCCCAGTCATGATGAAGCGCTGTCCGTGTATGCAACCTCTCGCGAATTCTCAAAAGCGCCTCCATGGCTCCACAACAACAAGCGCTCCACTTCCCGACTCGCTCAATTGCACCCCAGCTGTCCATGCAATTGCGCTCCATGCAACTTCCTGCCGCCCCGTACCTGCCGCGCTGTCCGTACCTACGCTGTCCGTACCTGCGCTGCCCGTACCTGCGCTGCCCGTACCTGCGCTGCCCGTACCTGCGCTGTGCCCATGACTAGTAGCGTGCACAGAGAGAGGACCAGCAGCGGGAGCCGCATTCGCGCCTCCACCGTGACGCTGCTCACTCTCCTTAAAGCCCCGAAAGGAAGATTGTTACTTGTAACCCTCTTCATCGTAGCACTGCTAGTCGTCGCAATGCTAGTCGTGACACTGCTAGTCGTCGCAATGCTAGTCGTGACACTGTTAGTCGTCGCAATGCTAGTTGTGACACTGCTAGTCGCAGCGGTAAATGGGGTTAGGATTTGTGAGCATGTAGGGAGAAACGGTCTGACTGAGTAGATGGTGGTTACTACAGCCGTCCGGTTACTAGTTCGAGGCTTATTCCTGCAATGGCAGCCCTACTAATGGCATCATTTCGTAGCGCTAGCGGCCTTGAGTGAATCACTCGCGCTCCGTCAGTTACGACCTTGCTTGTGTGAAGACGCTTCTAGGGGCGGTTAGGAGATCAAGAAAGTGAAATGCGACCAGAGAAGCCAAGCACTCGTATTTCTCTTTTACCGCAACGCGCAAGCTGTGAGTATTCCTGATGACAGATTAACGCCGTTGCACGGGGGGCAAATTCATCTGACGCGACTGCTGTAAGCGTGTGAGGGAAGGTACGGAAGAAAAAACACAAGTGAGGCAGTGAAATTCTGTTTTGCGCTGCAGCTTCTCACTTCATTCCAAATGTGTTGTTGGCTGCGCGGGTGTTTTCGCTGCGTTGTGCTAGGTGCTGCGAAGCTGGCACGCCGACCATGTGCGCGAAGGGCAGCAGCGCATGAACCCGTTCGTGCCTTTCGATCTTGCTGCCCACCAAGGCAAAGCACCTGACTTGGGAGGTGCACTGTGCATTCACAAAACTGCAAGGGACGTATTCGAAATTCGAGTCAACCTCCAACTAGGACACCGCTCGGTCTTCAACTTAAAGTTTCCAACCGCGCCATTATTCAGCATTGCGGTTTAGTGCGATTTCGAATCTTCGAGAAAGCTTTTGAAGGGTTTACGATGTGTCCCCAGTTCGGCTGCACTTGTCAGGTCTGATTTTTCTTTTCGGCCCCTTATAATCTATTTGTCTGAGACGGTCATGGGACACCCCCTAATCAGATCTGAAGCACCTAGAGCCACCCAACGGCCTCTTTCGCTGAACAGTGTTTTACGGTTTGAGCTGGGAGTGCTGGCAGCTGGTCTCGATTTCGAGGTCGCAGCAGAGAAACAGCAAACCCTACCAAACCTCATCAAAGCAGGAAGGCGAGGCGAGGCGAGCCGAGCCGAGGCCAGACACCAACGAAAGGCGAGGGGAGATGAGGGGAGGGTTGCGAAATGAGCAGATTCCAGATGACAAGGAAACCACGTGACGCGCTTACGAAACCCTTATTGCCGAGTTAAACACTTAATGCTTAATGGCATGCTCGACTGACTGGAAAAACATTGCTCTTATTCACGGCCTCGAACATGGAAATAACGGGAACAACACCCGTGTGCCAAAAATAGACTCTAGTAAAAAACGAATACCAAAGTTATGAAACGAGCCTGAGTACAGTTCAATAACCCCGGAAACCAATTCGAGCTCGTGGATGACTCTAAATCGAGCAGCGGGAATACCAAATTACAAATAGAAACTTACTGTATAGCGACGCTGCCCAGTTGTACGAATTGGACGAGCCGATGGATATTTCTCTACAGTTTCGATCTTGGAGAAAGCACAGACAGTGGCAAGGCAATGTCCGTTGCCAAGTGGTGCTGTTTGAACTCTCCCTCACGCCTCAGAACAGAACTGCATGCTGCACGACGTACTGTACAGGACATTGTTCGATGCTCTGAAACCACGAATCAAAATTGTCCAACATCGCCCGCGGTTCAATTACGGTTCAAATTCGCCAACTCTCAATGCGCTCTTTACGTAAACTGGCGGTATCAACACTTATTCAAAACTCCCCGATCCTCCCCCTCCCCCCCCATCCCCCCCCCCCCCCCCCTCGACATCTCTACGACTGCATTGATCCATTCAGAAAATTTGTTCCTGCTAACACTCTTTTTAAAACGTTGGTTTCAGCAAGGAAAGTACTGTATCGATTCTTGACCTCCCCACCCCAGTCTGCAGCACCATGCATAACTGTAGTCTGCTGCGCCCCGTTCCTGCCATTATGGGACTGCAAGTCAGCGCCTGAAAACTCCGCGACTTTGCGGAACTGTTCCCGCCATTTACGGCATGCGACAATATTCCTCACCGATATTTTACATACGTCATGTTCAAAATCTTCATTATTTCCAACATTCCTTCCACGGTATCACAACTCCCCTTCCCTTCCCTGTCTTTGGTGTCTAGGGCAGAGAAACGTCACGTCGAAATAAACGAGGAGGCTTCCAAACACTTTGGGGCACAGAAAATACTTTTTGATTCAGTTCTTTGGAGCACTCGTCATGGCGATGGAACGAGCACACACGACAACCTACAAGCACCTGAAAAGTAGCAGGTGAAAGCAAGGGAACAGCTGAAAAGTGACCTGCCCACGACCCCCCAGCACCATAGTTCTTGGCGAAAGGGTAATTTTCACCGAGGGAAACCCGATGTAGGTGTGTAGCAACCAACGTATGCTAATGAACATGTTTTATTTCTAGGTTGTACAGCCATCTAATGATGGGAAATGTTGCGATCAGAAGTTAATCTTAAAGCCCGCGTCCCAAATTGCGGGCCGCGAGGGTCAAGTTTTTAAAACTTGACGAAGTTGAGTGTCCAAGCTTTTGAAAGTCACGCAATTGCAATTTGGGACTTTCGAAGACAGATTCACTCACCAGGGGGAAAACCGAGGGTTGGCTGGGTCTCGCGAAAAAAAACGAACCTAGACGAAATCGGAAACTCTCGCCAAAGCCCACACCAGAAAAACTCCCTCTGGTCAACTTTTAAAAGCATGAACAATTTGGGCCGCTGGCTTTAACCAGGATCACCTCAGGAAGGTTCGCACACAGCTAGGTAGTGGTGGTGGGCCCTTGACCTCAAATCAGAGTGAATGTAAAATGATCGTAAAACATGCAAATGCAAACATCTAAATAAGAGTACGAGGTGGAATACGGAGCGACCTAGCTAGTCATGTACTATAAGGGGTACATTCCCTTATTGCGGCGAAACTCAACCGTGCGACTCCAGACGGTTACGAACTGCCTGAGCAGAATCCTCGCCAATGCTGCTGCCTGATGTTGTCTGCCCTGACGGTCCAGATCCTTCGTAACCCTATGACCCTTCGCGTCACTTCCGCCTTTTCGTCTCAGCCTCGGTACTGCATGCTTCGTTTGCTACTGTCAGGAGTGCACAGTAATACTTCATCTTTCACTATTCGTAACACCCCCCTTCACTCTTGGCCGTAGCAGGTCTTGACTCGCTTGACTACTCCGCTGAGTTCAGAGCAGTGCTGGTACTGCTGACATGACAGTCGCTTCATGAGGAAGTCAACTGCCATGTCACCCGTCGGGCAGTAGGTTAGGTCAACCTTGCCCTTGTCAACTTCGTCCTTGACGAAGAAGTACCGCAGCGCAATGTGTTTGGTGCGGTTGACGAATCCAGGCTTGTTCGCGATCCTGATCGCGCTCTGGTTGTCGCAGTGCAGGCGAAAGGTAGGCGAAGATGGGATTTTGGCCTCCTGTAGGAGCTCCTGTAGGTAGAGCCCTTCGCGAACGGCTGCTGTCGCGGCGATGAATTCAGCATCCGCTGACGACAGGGCAACCAGCTCCTGTTTCTGTGAATTCCAGGAGATGGATTCTGTTGGCTTGAGGCAGAACAGGAACCCTGTTCTGGACCATCGATTGTCGGGATTCAGCAGCATGATCGGCGTCCACGTAGCCGATGACGTTAAAGGAGGAGGTTGGGACTGCGGAGTAGCAGAGCCCGACATTGGGCATTGCG